AGCAAACAGGTACTGTACTTCTAATCCAATCTGCTCTTTTGCTAACAGCTGGACATGAATAACAATGGACTTGCACACAAATGTTGTCGGTGCAATTTAGAATATAGCCTTGTTTCTGAACTACCAATTTAACATAAGAGTATAGCACATATGCCACCAAACTATATAATTTTGAAACTTTGGCCTAGTTTATACTACAAAGAGAGGTCGACATTAAGTCGCCTTCCATCAACTTAGTTGTGCATGTGTCTACAGGCAAATTTGTCTCCCACCGACATATGTGCCTGCTTACAGCAACGCACTAACCACCTCCCCAAACAGCGTTGGGCCATAGTCGACATATTGTGGTTGACACAGTGTGAGCAGAGACACTGCGTGACTTATGTCGACCCTCACAGTCCTCCAGCAGCTGTCCCACAATGCCCAACAGCGACTGCTCTGTTCACAATGGTGAACTTCACTGCCAAGGGCTCTGAGAGACCAGAAGCCACCACCCCCTTCTTTAAAACTACCATGTATTTTTGAAATGCCTTTTCCTGACTGCCCAGTTTGGCAAGCACACCCAGCAGCTCTCCATTGTTGTGTGCAACTGCCCAACCGACCATTCCAGCTACATGCTCTAGACCAGTAATACTCAGACTGAGGTTCGTGAGCCACAAGTGGCTCTTTGATGTGTCTCCTGAAGCTCTTTGTAGCACATGGTATTAAAACACGGTATGATTCAATTATTAACCAATCTATGTTAGTCACCATTCAGATGCTTTTACTAGGTTATTAACCAATTGTAGTTGATAAAATAAATAATACTTGGTCAGTCGTTTTGCTGTGAGAATAATATATAGTAAATGAAACAATTAATTCATAGATTCATAGATTCTAGGACTGGAAGGGACCTCGAGAGGTCATCGAGTCCAGGCCCCTGCCCTCATGGCAGGACCAAATACTGTCTAGACCATCCCTGATAGATATTTATCTAACCTACTCTTAAATATCTCCAGAGATGGAGATTCCACAACCTCCCTAGGCAATTTATTCCAGTGTTTAACCACCCTGACAGTTAGGAACTTTTTCCTAATGTCCAACCTCAACCTCCCTTGCTGCAGTTTAAGCCCATTGCTTTTTGTTCTATCCTTAGAGGCTAAGATGAACAAGTTTTCTCCCTCCTCCTTATGACACCCTTTTAGATACCTGAAATTTGCTATCATGTTCCCTCTCAATCTTCTCTTTTCCAAACTAAACAAACCCAATTCTTTCAGCCTTCCTTCATAGGTCATGTTCTCTAGACCTTTAATCATTCTTGTTGCTCTTCTCTGGACTCTCTCCAATTTCTCCACGTCTTTCTTGAAATGTGGCGTCCAGAACTGGACACAATACTCCAGTTGAGGCCTAATCAGCGCAGAGTAGAGCGGAAGAATGACTTCTCATGTCTTGCTCACAACACACCTGTTAATGCATCCCAGAATCATGTTTGCTTTTTTTGCAACAGCATCACACAGTTGACTCATATTTAGCTTGTGGTCCACTATAACCCCTAGATCCCTTTCTGCCATACTCCTTCCTAGACAGTCTCTTCCCATTCTGTATGTGTGAAACTGATTGTTCCTTCCTAAATGGAGCACTTTCCATTTGTCTTTATTAAACTTCATCCTGTTTACCTCAGACCATTTCTCCAATTTGTTCGGATCATATTGAATTATGACCCCTATCCTCCAAAATAGTTGCAATCCCTCCCAGTTTGGTATCATCTGCAAACTTAATAAGTGTAATTTCTATGCCAATATCTAAATCGTTGATGAAGATATTGAACAGAGCCGGTCCCAAAACAGACCCCGGCTGAACCCGACTTGTTATACCTTTCCAGCAGGATTGGGAACCATTAATAACTACTCTCTGAGTATGGTTATCCAGCCAGTTATGCATCCACCTTATAATAGCCCCATCTAAGTTGTATTTGCCTAG